TATGCCTCCTCAAGTCTTCGTTCGTACTTAATTATCAAATTTGACCCCCGAACACGATCCCGGCTTAATTCCTTGAGCTTTTACTCAGACTTCAAAGCTTCAAATCACTTAAATTCATTCCATAACATCTATATAGCTCGGAATCACACCTACAAGGCATAAAACACACAATTAGTGCAAAACACTAGCGATTAAAGTGCAATAAATTCGAGTGTAATAAGCGACTAAAATATGCAATTATAGCCTATCATCAACACCCCACACTTAAACCATTGCTCGTCCTCGAGCAATCAAACTACATTTTTTTTTTATAGACACGACCTTTTTAAACAATTCTCCTAACTCATCACACCAAGAGTATTTAAAATAGACTAAGCACAAAAGCGTAACATCTTCACCTCAAGATTTGACTCACAAGTACCACACGTTATTCACAACTCACCCACTTACTCTAATATAGAGGTCACTGACATTACCTTTCCTTCATGAATCAAGTGCCCTCACACAACAAAGGAGAGTAGTTCCACACAATAAAATTTAAGAACACTTAGGAACTCAAGATAGAAAGAATTCACTCACTCTCAGAAATAACATTCATATGCCACAAAAGATGCACCATAAGCTTGCCCGTAGTGTACTACTCCACTAATCGAGCTCATTCAATCTTGGATCAATTAGGACTTTATTTGGTTGTAATGTAGGCTACGGGACGGGTAGGATACATTTAGATATAAGAGTGACTACACCTCCCTAAGCACTTTAATACATATACTTTAACATTCAAACCCCATACTTATGTCAAACCAAAACTCCACCTTCACATCAATGTATATTACCCCATTCTTCTTTAAGCACACTTACATCAAGAGCCACCACTTATCAAGGAATTTTTTTTTCACAAGAATCCAACTATTTTTTTTTTCAATTCAAGTGGCTCTTCCTTTTTCAAAACAGTGCACCTTTCTCCTTATTTCATTAGTTCCACTCAAAAGCCAAACCAACCACCCCACACTTTAACTTTTACAAAGTTCATAAATAATTCAAGTGCTCATGAGAGGTTACAATGGTTCAAATAGATGGTTAATTCGAACAAATGGGTAAGGCTTGTAATGTGGTTGCCAAAGAAACAGGATTACAGGCTCAAAGGGGTTAACTACGATACATAATAATTAGGCGGGTAAAATATACATATCTGGCTCAACAAAGAAATGCCTATATCACTTCCTAGACTGAATAAAACTACTATTTCGCTTTGCAAACACACGGGGCAAGTTCTAGGCATCAAATGCAATGCACAGAATATCACAAAACCTTACACACACATGGCACATAACTCACTCAGGATTGGATTCATCAAGACACCCTAGTCAGAGCAGTTAAGCAAATTTAAGATCATACAATTTAAGGTACTTATACAAGAGTCAAAAACTGAGCCTAAGCGTCACAGCCAAAGTACTCACTATTCTCAAGGCATAACAAAGTCAAGAGATATTGCTTCATTTCAAAACAAAACACAATGGCTCCTATTCCCAAAAAAAAAACTAACTACACCCGGTTCAAATAAAACCCTTGGAAAAGAACCGTGGTTTAAAGAAAAACCAAGGGGTAATTGCTACACTACCTAACAAAACAAAAAATCTTTTTGGTATTTTCTTTAGACTTACTTCCCTCAAGAAAACTGTCTAGAAGATCCGTCATCAGGAAAAGTCCAATTTTTTAAAAAAAAAAACACAGCTAAAGTAGCATGAAAAATCACCCAGACAATCTCCTCACCCCACACTTAAAATTGTGCATTGTCCCCAATGCACACCCATACATACAAGAGGGTAAAAGAAACTCCCTGGTAGGCCAAAGGCCGAAGCACTAGCAGTTCATGGGGTACTCAGACTTCTCCCAAGCTTGGTCCTTCGTGTGGGTACCTCACACTTAGTTCCAACCATTTGGTTTGCTGATGCATCCTTCCAATACCTTTGCTTTCCATGCTCCTAGAAAATAAAAAAATTGACACTACAAAAATAATACAATTAAAAAAAAAAAAAAAATAAATAAAAGAAAGCAATAAAGCTGGGTTGCCTCCCAACAAGCGCTTGATTTAACGTCGCGGCACGACGTGAATCACTTTCTGCCTCCACTTTGAACTTATGAATCGGACCCCAAGTTTTGATTCTGCTCTATGATCATGCTCCTGGGGTGGTGGAACGAATCTGACTGGCCCAATAAAATAATGTAGTATTCTGCACTTCTTGGCCTTTATATGAGGTGTGTAATCCCGACTTTCTGGCAAGAAGAATTCCAGAATGTAAGCACTTTGTTCCTCATTCCTTGACTCCTCAAATGGCTCGGACGACTCTATTTCCATATCATCATCTAAACACAATGTGGAAAAATGCTTGGAGTGAGGACCAATGCGCTCAACTACATGAACATTGGGACTATCTACATTCTCAACACTAATGACAATAGAGTCAACTAAATATGTATCCTCAATATCCTTGGTTGACTCTAGTATCTCTTCTACAACATCGACATCCTCAAAATCTAGTGTGATTGATTGTTGGTGTTCTACTCTAGCCTCCTCCTCTAGCTCATCAATTTCTGTATCTAATTCACGCTCTTCTTGGATACTATTCACAATATTAGCTTGTTGAGCATTAAAAACTTCAACCAGTTGACTCATGTGAACTTTCAAGTTGTGAATAGTTTCCTCCTGCCTTTCTATCCGCAGTAGTAATTTACTCTGTTGTTCCAAAATGCACTTTAACATATCTTCGAGCTTCTTTAGGTCAGCTTCCCTAGGTTCTTTGTTCCTATTAACTTCACCAGAAAAAGAAGAACCATCAAAGTAAGGGGTTGGGGGAAGGTAAGAAATATAAGCACAACCGTGAAAGTGACCATCTTGACCACCACACATATCACACACATTCCACACATAAGATTGAGTTGGTGCACAAAACTCGCTCTCAGGAATATTTTGATAATTTTGCCCTGGGTGGTTTCCTTCACAATATGCATAAGGAGGATCAAAAGTAGAATTACCAACAACAAAATTCTCATAATTCCATGATGTCATGTTTCTCAAATAAACAAATAAAACTAAAATAAAAAAAATAAAAAAAATCAAATAATAAAATAAAAGTTCAAACTTGAAACCTAGCAATATGTACACCTACAACTACACCGTTAGTTCCCCGGCAACGGCGCCAAAATTTGATCACGCCCAACTATGCCTTATAAAAAGGACAATGCGGTCGTTGCAAATATAATCCGGTTTACAAGTCCGGAGTCGAATCCCACAGAGAACTAAGGTTTAGCTACAGCTGTTCACTATCACCAAGAAGACAAGCTTGAACAATTCCTAACTTATAGATATTAAGATTCTTGTGTTTAACTAATTAACTAACAAATTAAAATAGTAAATTAACAACTAACGATACTGAGGGTTAGAGAAAAGATTAAGGAGGTCTAGAGTTATGATTTCCTCAATTGTCGGAATCCTTCCCGCTATGTCTTCTATAATTTCGCCTAAGTATTCTCTACCGATCATGAGCACTCTTATTACCGTAACTCTCTCCCGAGTAATTACGACAATTTACTAGACGCACTCTCCCGAGATACGCTAGCTGGCTTTTAATACAGCTCACTTCAGATCGCACCCAAGGCTTCGTTATCCCTAATCCCACCTTTAAACCCTCGGTTATTGATCCCTCATATACTCTGGGAGTGGTGTTGTTCAACAATTACCTAAATATGCACTCTCTCCCGAGTTATGCATACTAAATAGGCACAGCTAATTGAGAGCTCTTCAATCAACCAGAATATAAACGTAGTTGAACAAATAGAGAAAAACTATGGCTCAATTATATAAAAACATAACAAGAATTTATCCTACAAAAGGTTCTATCAAACTCTAGATAACAAATTAGCTATTCATAATAGTATGTAAAACTACAATACTAAAAGTCATAACCAACAATGAAAAATAGGAAGAGGAAGGAAAAACTCGTAGAAGAATTCTCCGCCTTGCTCCCAATGTGTTCTTGCCTCCTTAGGTCGAATCTATGTCCAAAATATGTCCCCCTCTAAGCGTGGTGTGTGTTCCTCCACGTGAATTCTCCTCCAAAATATGTTCGATCCCCTCAAAGTGGCGTCCTCCCGTGTATATATATCAAGTAGGGTTAGGCCCAAACAATTATACCTTCTCCAATGTGAAAAAGGACACTTTTCCCGGGTCAGACGCGCGACTTCGCGCGGTCTTCGCGCACCTTTCTGCCTCAATCTTTTTAGCGCGCGAACTATGCGCGACTTCGCGCGTCCTTCGCGCGTCTGCTCGTTTTTCACCCTGTTCCGTTCCGAATTTGGAAAAACGTAAAACATGAAAGTTGTAGCCCTTTGAATTAGCTTTCCAACCATATATTGTGTAGCCCAAATGGAGTTCTGAAAAAAAAGTTATGTCTATTTTACTAGACAGTGCACAATATGCCTCCTCAAGTCTTCGTTCGCACTTAATTATCAAATTTGACCCCCGAACACGATCCCGGCTTAATTCCTTGAGCTTTTACTGAGATTTCAAAGCTTCAAATCACTTAAATTCATTCCATAATATCTATATAGCTCGGAATCACACCTACAAGGCATAAAACACACAATTAGTGCAAAACACTAGCGATTAAAGCGCAAACTCAATTAAAGTGCAATAAATTCGAGTGTAATAAGCGACTAAAATATGCAATTATAGCCTATCATCACCTATCTTGAGAAGCAACAGATGAAGAAGAAAGTGAGCACAGAAATGAGGGAGAGGAGAGAAAAACAAAGAGCTGAAATAAAAACAAAAGAAACTGGTCTAAAAGCAAAAAGAAAAAGAAAAGCAGCAAAAAGTGGTTAGAGGGAATCAAAAATGGCAATTGTATAAAATTAAAATGGTCCTACACAACATTTTTAGTTGTGTGAGACATGTAAAATTTCTCAGAGTTGACCATTGGTACATTAAAAAAGAAAAAGTTTGTTGGCAGCTTGGCACTTTGATCATTTGTGAGTCAACTAAGAGCATTCTTCAAATCCTAAAACCATTCATGACTACAAGCAATGATATCAAAACCTCAATTACCAAAGATCAAATGCAGATTCCAAATTTTCCACTAGAAATCATCATAGAAATACTCTCAAGATTACCAGTTAAATCACTCTTCAAGTTCAAGTGTGTTTCAAAATCATGGCTTTCTTTAATTTCAAGCTCTCAATTTGCTAAATTCCATTTAAAAATATCAGCAAAAGATAACAAATCCTCACACAAAAAGCTCCTTTTACTTTCCATGTATCTTCCTCATACTTTATATTCCTGTCCCCTTAATTCTGTATTGCATGAAAAATCCATATCTAGTGTTGATGAGCTCTATATCCCTTGGAATCGATCGAATATAATAGCAGGTGTTGGTTCTTGTAATGGATTGTTTTTCATGTGCATTGGCATGTACACATTTAACTTGTTTTTGTGGAATCCATCTACTAGAAAAAAGAAGAAACTGCCTTTTTCTGGTCATGAGTATTCGAGATGTGATGTTACGTATGGATTTGGTTATGACGAGTACAGTGATGATTACAAAGTGGTTGAAATTTATGGAGTTTATGGTGTTCAGTATGTGTATGGTGCTAATATCAAGATTTATAGTTTGAGGGCTAATTCTTGGAAAATGATGAATAAATATAGTGATGCTCTTTTTTCCTCTGATTCTGCTGTATTTTTGAATGGATCACTTCATTGGGCAGTAGCACATAGTAATGGATATTGGGATATAGTTTCACTTAGTTTGAAAAATGAGAAATATGGAAATTTAGCATTGCCTAATCATGATCCTGGTAATTGTAATGGTTCCATCTCAAAGCCATTGGCAGACTCAACTGATTTTGAACCTGGGATTCTGAATTGGGCATTAGGGAAATTAAAGGGATGTCTTTCTTTGTTTTGTGACTATTACAAAGTTAAGTTGGATGTATGGATAATGAAGGAGTATAATGTGAAAGAGTCTTGGACTAAACTGGTTTCTCTTCCTTATACAGTGGCGGGAATAGGGTCTCGGATTTCACCATTGTGTATATCAGACAGTGGCGAAGTGTTGTTGCACGATGGATCACGTGTTCTGGTGTATAATGCAGGAGATAATGAATATAAAAGTGTGCAGATTCGTAACATGGATACTGGTGTTGGAGCAGCAACTGTCTATGCCGAGAGCCTCATTTCACCAAATCTTGACAGTACTGAAAATACACTATAGCAGAAAGGTAAACTGCTGATTTTCTAATCTTGTCGCGCGCATTTGAATTATACTATTGGTGTTTTAACATGTTTCATACATGAATTGTCTTCGACGTCCAATTTATTGTATGACAATAGGTATTAACTCTGTTGTGCATCTAAATTGGAGGTTGCAGGTGAACTGAAGAAGCAACTATAGAACTGCAAACTCCCGTGACCAGTGGCGAAGCCAGGAATGTCCAAAAGGGTGTTCAAACTTGAAAGAAGTGAAAAAGTTTTCCCGATAAAGGGTGTTCAATATATGTTATATACCTCTAAAACTTAATATTTTACCGATATACACAGTGCACTTTTTCGACGAAGACCCTTAGGACAATGTAGATTCGCCCCTGGCTACTCATGCAAGAAGCAAGCAAATAGCAGCAGCTTTTGAATTACTTTAATGATGTCTGAAAATCAGATATTTCATGTCCTACACGTCATTTGACATGTATTTGTTATAGAATTCTTTTTGTATTTACAACTTGTAACTTTTGTGTTTCTGCTGTTATTTCCATAAAGTTTTGCTATCTGCATTGCATTTGAGAACATACAAAAGAATTCATCTTATGGAAATATCTGTTTAGCTTCTTTCACCTTTGGTAATCTTTGAACCTACACTTCTTTTGTTTTCATTAGTTCAATTTTTTTCTTTATATCTGCAATAAATTCTATATTACATTTCAATTGGCTGTTGTTACAATGTTTGGTCTTTATATCCTTTAAAACTAAAGGGAAAATATATGCAGTATTTTCCTAGTTTCACAATCTTACATTGTGCCATTAGGACACCTTGGCTAAGTGTGATTCAGAAAAGGTAAAAGAAAAAGAGGGAACTGATTGATAACTCACATAGGTAGAACTGTTCCTTGAGAAAATAACTTTCTTTGCACTATCAATATATATTAGCGATTTTTTTGGTTTAACCATCCGCTATACGAAGTCAACCAACTAATCTGGATTCGCGCTGTCACTATATATTAGTTAAATTTTGATCACTGATACTGAAATACTTCGAAGGGGAACCTTAGCGTAAGTGACAAAGTTGCTGCCATGTGACCAGGAGATCACGGATTCGAGCCGTGGAAATAACCTCTTGCAGAAATGCAAAGTTGGAAAGAAGGCTTTTACCTTATTTCAGGTGGGTTAGTGCGTATCTGTTCGGGTGGAGGCGGACAATGAAAAGACAGAAAGGAGCGAATGATGCCAACCAACTCGACAAAGACATTCAGATATGAAAAAGATAAAGAAAGACGTGTTAAGCTTGTATTTTCCCAGCCGACTCGCACACAACCGTCTTTTCTTTGTGGAAACGACCTCTTGCAGAAATGCAAGGCAAGGCTGCATACAATAGACCCTTGTGGTCCGGTCCTTCCCCCGACCCTGCATATAGCGGGAGCATAGTGTACCGTGCTGCCCATGGTGAAATGCTTCAAAGGGAGAAGAGTACAATAGCATTCAGAGAGGATATTAATGAACACCAAAAGATATCTGTTTATATTCACTGCAACAATAAGACAAATATGAAACACAAATCAAAGCTGATATAAACAGTCATCACATAAAAACAATCCAGAAATTAAAACAAACTCTTGCCTTTTCCCTTATAAGTAATACACACTGAATTAAACTGTCAATAAGTAAGATGAACAGTGATTCTCAACAATGTCTCAGCACCATCAGTAACATGTTGACCAGCTGGTATAAGTGAACGAACTTCAGCAAATCCACATGCATTCTTGAATTTACCAGTTCCTCCTGTAACTGAAAGCCTTGACATTGTACTTCCAATTCTAAAAACTCCAAAAAAGTTAAGACTATCACCATATTCCCCTCCTTCAAACATAGTTGTAAATGCCATCATTTGAGTACTTCCATCTGCTGAACTTGCTACATATACTCCTTGTGCTTTTCCAAGATTTTGGGTACCTGTAAAAATGTAAAACTCACTCAATATTATCTCCTAAAGCCTAAAGGAGCATTTATAGAAGGGAGCCTTGAAGCAACGGGTAAAGTTGTCTTCGTGTGACGTATAGGTCACGAGTTCAAGCCGTGAAATCAGCCGTTGATGCTTGCATCAGGGTAGGCTGCCTACATCACATCCCCTTGGGGTGCGCCTTTCTGCGTAAATGCGAGATGCTTCGCACACGGGATTGTCCTGCCCTAAAGGAGCATTTAGCTCAGTGGGCTAAATTTGTCTATAAGAACGAAAAATTCATCCAACTACTTTTAAAGACGAAATTTAGTCCATTGGGCTAACAAGGACAAAATTTAAAGAGTGCCCTCAAACAAGGCCATGCAGTGCAAATAAAGTGACACAGTTAATGTTTAAACGCTGAAACTATAAAGGAAGGGTCAAAAATTATGTGTCAATAGTACCTAATTCAGGGGATGTAGTCAAGAAGTCATCGATAACAGTGATCGTTCCGAAGCCAAGTCCTAAGCCATCAGGGCCTAATTGAGTATTCAGAGTTTGTCCATTGTTGTTATTTCCACCAGCAAATATTGTACCTGCTAATCCTGTCCCTAATGGAACACCATTGATATTAAATGTTGGCATAGCACCATTAGCATTAGGAATTGCTACACCATCTTTTGGAGGTTGAAAACCAAGTGGTCTAGCAAATGGAACTTGTCCACTATAAATGTTGCCTAATAAACCAGTTATTGGCCTAGCCGTTGGATTATTTCCTCCCAGAATATCATGCATGTATAATTCCAATATTGGTTCTTGTGGTGTTACAGATTCAGTTGCAGCTACAAATGCTGCAACTTTGATGGCTAAAAATAGAATTGCAAGAAAATAGGAGGATGGTGATTGCTTCAACATTTTTAGAACTTGCTATTTTTGTTTTCTTGTTGGTTTTGGATTGAGCTGTTTTCTTTGATTGAATATGGAAATGAGCATAAGGTTGGTTATTTATATAGAGATGTGATTGTATGAAAATAGGTGGATTTGTTGTGAGATTCAAGAATGGTGTTGTTGGAGTTTTCTTAGTGTGGCAAGTACAACAGAACCTTACAAAATTTTGATAATACTTTATATACTAACAGGGAAGGTCAAGCCAATAATAAGGTTGTTTGGCCAGTATTTGCAATAATAAAAATATTTAACAAGTGGTCACGTCTCTTCTTTTGAAGGAAAAAAGAACTTTTTTCCTATTATATTAGAGACTAAGGAAGGAGGAGGAAAAGAAAATAAACATACATTAATTGTGTGGGAGACTTCCACTAATATCACTAGACTGTAAATTTTGGTGGTTGTATCTCTCTTTATCCTGAAATTCATCAATATTTCATTATGTAACACATGTTAATTAGTCCCTGTAATTTCTAATTTGATTATGTACATATCTCAATGGAAAGGTGAAATCAATTGTAATAGGTCCAATACAATGATATATATATATATATATATATATATATATATATATATATATATATATATATATATATATATATATATATATATATATATATATATA